ATTCCATTATAACCTTAAATTCCCCAAAAAACGCGAAATAACGGTCATCGATGGACAAAAAAAACCACGAAATGACAATTTGAAAAAAAGTGATAATGAAATGTGGAATAGGGAAAAAAGAGGAAATCAAGTAGGATAGAAAAACATAGAAAAGTGGAAGTAGAAAAAGTGAAATAAAGTGGAATTAAGTTAGATTTAAATTTATTTAAAGCAAAATAATTCTGAATTAATTTTCTCAAATCCCCATCGCAAATTCGGTGGTTTAATCGCAAGGTGACTGCCACCGAGAATCGAGGCTTGGGTTCGAATCCGCCAATGCACCACTCGTCGTCGGACGGCATTTTCGCCTATCGGAAAAATACAAAAGGAGAGCGGAATGGCGTAGGTGCCGACGTTGCTCAATTCGGAACGCTGAGTCACGTGAGCGCCAAGTGAACCTGTCCAAATTTCGAATGATGCTGGCGACTTACCTATACCTCCATCGCCAGCTGTCTGCCTGGCACATTTACATTTATCTAGTGAATATTATTCCATGAATATTATTCTAATTCTTGTTCTAACAGCTCTGACCATTACGGGTTAGGTTTAGTTTAACGACTACAAGGCTTCCAGGTGGCGCGATCTAATGCCATCGTCGACAGTAATAGAAGGCATATCTTTTTCCATTGTCTAAGTGCTGGTCCACCTATCTCTTTTTCTGACCGTATCAGTCCAGGTATTGATTGGCCCACCTCGCTTTTGATGCCATCCATCACATGATTTAGATGACGAAATATGGGACAACTCTTGTGGTGGACGACGGAGAACTTGCCTTAACCACCAAAGGCGACGTTCTATGATAATTAATACAGGTGGTGAACGAAGGTGGATGCGATCATATGATATTTTATCCGCTGGACGGACCCGTAAAATATACCTCAGACAAAAGTGGTCAAAGGTAGATGGCTTCTTAATATCCTCCACTTTCATTGGCCATGTCTCAGATCCATATAGCAAGATCGAACAAATCACGGCTAACTAGATGCGGACTTTCGTATTTATGATGTTTTTATGATTTCACGAGGTTTCGTCAACCGGAAGATTCTGCCGTGATTGTAATATCATCTTTTGCCTGGCCATTTGGTTTTAGAATGGACCAAAGATATTTAAAATTTTCTTCCTCAATGAATTTACAAAAATAGGCATTTTATCAGTTTCTTGCACATAAGACTGGAAAGGCTTTCGTTTTATTTACATTCATCCTGAGTGCCTTTCTATCAACTGAATCAAATGCAGCAGCAAAGTCAATGAATCAATGAAAAACGTGATAGTGGTTGCAAATATCTGAAGCGATGTTCTAACACTCTTCTTAACTTGAATATCTGGTCAGTACACCCCGCACCCCGGTTTAAATCCAGTTTGATTAGGGCTCATCCTGCTGTCTCGTAGTTCCATAAGTCTGTTGAGTAAAAGAGAAGCAAAAATTTTCGCTGAAACGCCTAGTAAGCTGATTCCTCGATGATTTTCGCATCATGTCCTATCATCTTTCTTGAGAATGGGGAGCAGAATTTCTTGCTCCAATCATCTGGCAATATTTTTTTCGCATACCAGAGAGTATATTCATTGAAGACGCGTTGTGAATGACGATGGACAACATTTGAAGAGCCAGGAGACCATCTTTCCCGGAGTCTTATTGGTTTCAAGTTTATAGATAACGGAGATTATTTCTTTATTTCTTTAATAGATGGCGCATCGTGGTTAAGTTAGGCCTTAAAGAATTATTTCCATCTTATGAGGCGGGGCGATCCTTAATACTCTTAACCCACACGCCATTGCTGTCCTTTACTATTTCACTGATCCCCGAGTTATAGTTGCTTCGTGAAGAAGGCGAAAAAGTTTTTTATCACCTATCCGAGCCACCTATCCGTCTCCATTCTCAAGGCCATATCCATTAGCGATTTCTGTCCTTCCGTCCTTCTGTCGTTGTAATTCGATTTATCCGGTAGTTAGAACCACCTGACGTTTGGCAACTTTTGCAGACAGTTGGACAATTGCTGCTGATACCCAACTAACGGACTCCCTACTAGTATAATATAACGTGGAAGTGGCTGATTTTCTGATTTCTTTAGTTTGGACCAGTATTCATTTGCCGTTCCAGAAAAATCATCGGTATTTGTATCACTGAGTTGCTTGAATAATTCGGTTGAAATGCGCTCATTGTCCACGAATTTTTTAGTCTCGAGATAGTTTAAGGATCTTGGGGGATGCTATTTTTTGCGAGTTATCAATTTTTCGTAGAACTTGGCTCTAACCATAACATGGTCAGATCCATGAAGATTGCCCGTTTCAGCGCAACAATAGGAACGACTATATAGTACAGAACTCTTCCAACGACTACTGGCTAATCAATCTAGTTGAAGAGTGGTTATCCGCAGAGTTCCACGTGACTAGATGCTTTCTATGATGCCGGAAGCAAGTATTAATAACAAAAAGTTCATGCTCTTCGACATAGCGAAAAAGATATTCCCGTTGGCGCGCCGTTTTCCGATGCCATATTTGCCAATTGTCAAGGTCATCGCATTATGCCCTATACGGCCTTCCAGTCTCCCCTGATTATGATCATGTCATGTTTGGGTAGAGACTTCGTTAGCAGTTGAAGTTCCGCATAAAACTTATCGTAATTACGCTCATCTGCCGGCAAAACTGAAGCATAAGCACTGATGACCGAGATATCGCAGAACTTACCTTTAAAGTGGGCATATGTCATACGGTTGCTTACCGATTTCCACTCAATCAAAGTGGAATAGGCCTTTGTGCATCCAATTCATCCATAAACCTAACTGTCATTTTAAATGCAATCTGTTACATAACGATCACATTTTACATAACGATATTCGATATTAGGATTTAAAAATATGAATGAACGGCGAATAATTTTATGTCACTTCATGTCATTCAGTTTCAGTTTACCTAACGATCAGCAATAATATTCTTTGTTAGATCGGAATGCACTCGTAAATCATAATAATCGCAAGCGTGGAATTCGCGAAAACTTGAGTTACAGTGAGTTTACTAATGCGCCTTCGGGAAATTTTCATTTAATATCTTCATTTAATAATATAAAATCTTCATTTTATCAAATTAGTTGGATGTGTTAGATGCTCCGGAAGAATTGTTCCCCTTACTTTACCTTGTCCTTGCCTGTTTTTGCCTGATATCAATTCTCTTACTTGAGGTTAGCAATGTTAAATGTTAAATCGCAAAAACTCAATCCATTCAAAATCCGCAGAAAATTTTAAAGATTATTGCTGCCGGAAAAACCGAAAGAATTTATTATAAAAAAAAATTCTTCTTGAACAAAGTATTCTTCGCAAGAATGAGTCAGTATTCAATATTCAAATTATATGAAATTTATTGTTTTTCTTCCTTTGTATGAACAACATATTTGCTAATAAAAAAAAGCTGATTTTAGATTCTGTGAAACAGCTGTACCTTTGAACGGAAAAAATAAATACAATTTCTGTACAGTTTTTTAAGCAATTTGGGGATAAGATGGCTTACTGGGTTACTGGGTTACTGGGCCATTGCTCAATTCGGAGTGCCGATACTAAGGTTCTCCCGCAGGAATAAACCTGTCCAAAAATCCGGGTGATTCTGGCGACTTACCCGTACTTCTATCGCTAATGGACTAGCTGGCACATTTTTCCAGTGCGACAAGCCAGTGGAGCGAGTTTAACCAGTAATGGCAAAAACTCCTTTAAAAAAATATAATTTAAATATAATTTAAAATATAAAAAAAATAATACAATTTTTAATGTAATTTGCATAATATTGTGAACTCAACCCACATGTGAGCAATATACAAGAACTTCGGAAGAACTTGAGCAACAATTTCTCTCCACCACAGAACCTCAACGCGACATTCTTCGTTCTTAAAGTAAATTTATTCGTCTTCCCAACCCAATTATCATTGTGTTATATTGTTCACTAATTCAACGGTAGAGGAAACTTATCACAACAATAACAAACAACTTTTTTTTCGACAATTGCCAACAATTTATGAAATATATTGAAAATTAATAGCCTAAACAGAATAAATAGCGCTGATCACTTATTCATCACCAATGAGCGTCCTAAGAAAGCTCCTAAGAAACTGCGGTCAATAAATGATGTTAAATAATGATGTGAATTATCTGCGCTAAATTATTGATGTGAATGACCTTAATCAACGCAATGATAGTGTTAATATGATTTGGAAAAGAATGGCCTTCCATGATACTGAAAACAAATCAAGATCATTTTTAGTTCCATAATGAAAATGTAATGAATACATTCAAAAGATGACATTATTGCGAGGAATATTCTTATAGAAAACGTGATAATTATGTTGGAAATATATTGTAAATTGGAAATATATTTCTAGTTTTTTATAGAAACTATTTCAATATTGAATAGTTATGAGGATTTAATCAGTTTCATTAAATCTTTTGGAAAATTTGAGAAAAACAATAACAAAAGTAAATTTTTGCAATATTTTTGGACCAGAATTAAATTCCGCTTAATAATATTGTTTATCCTTAGGAAAATATATTGCTCCACGAATAAATGCGATCTTTCTTGCAGTAATCTTTCAAATAATTTTAAAATGGATCAAGGTAAAACCGAATTCATGTATTTTCTCGGTTATTTGTTCATTTATTATTGATACACAATGGGATATAAAATGACTTGGTGGGTTGTTTCCAGCCAATGCTTTCGGCAGAAGTAAACTAACCTATAAAAACTCCGGCTAATGTCGGCATACCAGCCACATTTCTATTCAATGAATTACTCCTATGTATTCTGATTCGACGAGTTAACGGAGCATAACCAGAAATGATGAATGCAAAAAAAAAGAGAGACGTAACCAAAATAACTTATAACTTATGATAAAACTTGTGTCTCTATTGTATCGCAACATTATCATGAATTTTTACTTTAAAAAGCTAATTTCCATTAGGAAGCCTCAAAAATCGGAAAATTTACTGATTTGCACAATGTGTAATCCTTTTCGTGTATCCACAAGTTTTACTACACTTTTTCTTCATTCTTTCTGTTTCGCAAGAAAATGCGTATCGCGCATGGCCGCAATCACCAAAAAAGTCCTTACAAGTATCCGAATAATCTGCTTCTGAAAAAATAAAGCAATCAATGAATTAAACAGAGGAGTTTGCACCAAAATTTACAGTAGAAAAAAATTATTTGAATGCAAGTTTCATATCCACTTTGGTACAAAAAGTATGCTCAAAATTCTCCGTATGTTGATCGAGTAATTTTTTTTAAAGAGTCCTCGCCATTATTGGTTAGATTCGTTCCGCTGGCTTGTTGCACTAGGCAAATATGCTAGGGAATCCCTTGGTGATAGAAATAATAAGGTAAGTTCACAGCCGGATGTTTGGAATGTTTACTCGTATGCAGAGAGAAGTCAGTATCGGTGTTCCGAATCGAAGTACCCAGTGAGCCATTCTCCTTGTTGATCGAGTATTATTAGGTCGCTGTAAATGAGATCAAGACAAATTCCTATTTCCGCCTCCTGATTTTTCTAAGCGAAAAAAGCAGTACTTGGAATCAGTTAAGGCAAAAACAAAGGAATCGCCAAAAGTAATCATAAGTTGATTGAAAGTGAAATAAATAAGGAATTCCGTTGGCTCCTTCCACAAACCATTATAATTACCTTCTTCACCTCCAACACACAGATTATCTTTGCATTTTAAAGTATTGTACCGTTGCTGACATTTGGAACAAGGAGCTCCTTCTTCATATATTTTTCGCTCCATTACATTTCCACTGCAATTAATATAGTAAAATTTGAAAGCGACTGTGTTTCATCAAAAAACATACGGTGGATTATAGTGGCATACAACATAAATCCAATATTTCTGCACGTATTTTTCGGTCAATCCAAAATGCTGCATTCTTAATTCATTCAATTCATTTGGTGAAAGTGGGCTAACACAAAAAGCAAGTCCACAACCAAGTTTATATGTCTCTGCCCATGCCATCTTAAAATTTTTTTTCATAAAATTTTTCGCCTTAATAAATTTTTCATAAAAAATTTTTTAACTAATTGACAAATAGTTGTTATTTCTATATTTAGATTATTATTTATTATATTTCTATATTTACATTTTATAACAATTTATTTATTAAGGCGAAAATGTCATGGCGCATTTACGATCACCAGCATAAACACCATAGCACCACTTTTATTTATTATTGATCAAAAATAATTTAAGCGAAAATTTTCTTTTTTATTTCTTTCACCTAATCGCTCCTTCAAGTAAAATAAAATAAGAAAGAGGGCTATGGCACGAATTTCATTTAAAAAATATAACCTGAGTAAAATGACCAATTTTTCCAACTTTTCGAGCCTTTGTAGTGAATTCAACAGTGGTTGTCATTAACTCGACTTCCTCCCACCAAGCAGTCGCTGCCCTTTTCATATGGCCGTCTTTAGATTAATATTTTTTTAAAATATAAATTAAAAAACTCTTGAATCTTTCTTTAAATTATAATTTAAGAAAGGATTTTCCAAATATTTCCCGAATATTTTCTTATTTTTTTGATGTTTCGCTAAAAATATGAAAAAAAGAAACAAAAATTTCTTTTTACATCGACTAAAATTTGCATATTGCCAATGTTTATACAGATTTTCACCTCCAGTAGAATGCTTCCAAGTACAATTTTTTGCCCATTTCTGTGCCGATTTTTCTAGGCTGCAATCCCATTCCTAGGTGTTTTAAAAAATTAATGCTAGGATCAGTATACTATTTGTCAAATTAATTTAACCACTCTAAATGTAATTTTAAATTAAATGATAGAAATAATTTTCAGATTGCCTCTGTAAGCTATTTAAATTTGACTAAAATTGTTAAGTTGACAAAGATAAATATTTATAATTAAATATTTCTTTTGATTAAAATATTTATTACCAACCATTTTACGAATATTGTTTCCATTAGGCATATTTTGGATTTTGTTTTTTATTTTGCCACTGGCCAAATCGGATCGGTATTTATTGTGCAAGTCGAGTATTTCTGCCCGCTCATCTTCCGTAATCTCAGAATTTTGGCAGCGACTATCATTACGCTCTTGTCGAGTGCTATTGGTAGATACTTTTTGTCCATTATTGAATACCTTACTATCAATTGGATTGCCAGCTGTGTTATTATCTGCTTTCTGAGTATAACCAATTGTCGTAAATTGATAAATCTCATTCACGTTCCATTTCAATTTTTTCTTATCAATTGGAATAGATTGATTAATACTATTAAAATCCCTCTCGTATATAGCCATTGAAGGTTGGCGATAAAGTGAAGAATTTTTAGGAAAATGATAATAATGAACTCCATACGGATATTTAGATGCATACATAGGTTTGAATGCTGGCTCTTTGGGAATTTCATTTATATATTGATGTTGTTTCATTACTCGCATGAAATTTGGCCTTTGATAATTCCATGTAAGTGGATTATAATAATAATAATAATAAGGTTGTTTAGAATTATACGTTCGAATATTATAATTGATTAATTTGGGATAATAATTGAATGGTTTGATATTGCGTGTTTTAAAGTTGTAACCAGTTGGATGGTAACTCAGGTTGCTATTATTTGTGATGTTGGCAATAACCAAATCACCTGGAAATCATCGAAAGTTAGCAAAAAATTTTGATGCATCCATTGTGAATGCAATTCTTATATTTTCGCAAAATTTATTGAAAATCTTTGCTGAAAATTACCTATTTTAACAAGGTGAACAAACTGAAATAACCAGTAATATATCACCATGATTATCCGGAAGTTTTTCTTCTGAAGAATATGAAACCAAGTTTATTAATGAATCTCTACCTGATGAATAATTTTCTTGATCAGTAATCGGTAAAGCTATAATAATAATGGCCTTTTGATGAATTTTGGTCATTCTATTTTCTGGACTTCGAATAGCTTATAGATAAAAGATTTTAAAGGGGGTTGTTTCCATACTCAAAGTTTTATGCAGACATTCGAACCACGTGATCTGATTCATGAAAATTGCCAATTTCACCACCTCGATAGAAAAAATTATCCATTATTCTTTTTCTTCTAACAACAGTTGACCAGGAATAATTAATTTAGCTGTGCGAGAAGCAAATAGACATCTTTTTCGATGGCATACATTGGTAGCTAAGTTATAGTTAAGTTTTTCTCGAAAAAACAATGGAAGCACATTAGACCTTGTCATACTTTCCGATTCAAGTTATGCATCGCAGTCTTATCAGGTCACCTTTTGGGAGGGATATTTAGCAGTTAGGAGCTGGTACTCTCCAAAAAATCTGTCTTCATCATAATCACCTCCGCTTTAGACAGTTCACTGATGGCTAAGATACTGCATAAATTTTCTTTCGAGAAATCGGGCAAGAGCCATTCATTGCTTGGCTTCTTGCGTATCCATTAAGCTACGTAAAGCGTATCCATTAAGACATGGCCATTTGGCGATTTCTGTGCCATTCCATTGCGATTTATTCCGTAATAATATAACCATAAACACAGTTTGAGAAACGTCGGTTTATATCACTCTTACTAAATATGAAAATAAATATAATATACTATATATAAATATACAGTATATTATATTTATTAATAGACAAAATAAATAAAATTATAAATATTGCAAAAAAGGAGAGAAAATGATAAATAAAAGGAGGAAAATAACCGCACAAAACAGATTTCCTTCACAATTAAACTGACAGATTGAATGATAGCTGAACGACAAAATTTTCGAATTATCGTTGATGTGTTCTTTTTTGAGTGATGGATTTTTTATTGCTGGGGGATCCATAGTTTCCAAAAAATTTTTGAATGTATTCAGTTTAATTTAATTGTTGTAATTGTTTGTATTTTATGTTCGAAATTAGAGATAATTTTCGATTTGATATGATCAAAAATCAAATCGATTGCGTTTAGAATTCATTCACTTTTTAAAGATATTTTGTTTCTTTTTTTTCGTTTCTTTTAAAATTTTTTGTTTCTTTTAAAAATTCTTCGAATAATGATGAGATTTATTCAGTAATTTTCAGTGTTGATTCATTTCAACGTTTCAGCGATTGATAAAACAAATGGATAATACCAATTCTCCACTCTATAAATTACCAATTCTCCACTCTATAAATTTTTTAAAATAAGGCATAAAATTGTGGAAGAATTTTTTTAAAAAAATATAATTAAATGCGGGTTTGTCACGTTGGTGATTGATTCTATAATGCATAGCATAAATAAACATTTATTCATATAACCCTATTGTAAATATTAGTTGAAAAATTTCAAAAACTTGGCTCCGTTTGTTTCATATAGTCAGTGATTATGTAATGTGGAATTTCCAACTAGGTGCAAATGGAAATGCTAGGCTTTGTAAAAGCACTGTGCAATCGTCGAGTAAGTTGCATTGACTTTTATGCATAAGTTTCACATTCTATGCACATGTATCGTATGAAAAAAAGCTAATAAGATGGAAAGATATCGCAAAATTAAGAACTTATTAACTTTTCGTACCTTTCATGACTTTTTCTAAGATAAATTCAGTGTCCTACCTGGTAGAATCTATCATTGTCTCTAATAGTATGCCTTAAATGCACTGCACTGCACTGATCAGGTCTTAGTTTTCGTTGCTCACCAACACTCGCAATTGTTAAAGAAGATAACCAATGAAAATCTGAATTGGTGCGGTTAAGTACCATGTTGATTGCATAATCGATGCAGTGATATAGCAGTGATATAGGGAATACGCATTGTGCGTAAAATGTTGGCCTCAGTTCCTTCACAATAGACTTATTAACGTCTTGCTTAATGGTTAGTGGAATCGGTCGAAATGGTTCATATCTTTAATAGATAATTAAAATACAATTGTGCAGGGTATGCGTTAAGTATAAATATCTCTCTACTTTAACTGCAGTTTTTGCTTCTCAAGTTTAATAATATGAAAAAAAGAATTAGAATAAATAATTGGTACTTACTAAAAAGTTTATCGTAAATGATGTTAAACATGGAATCCATGCTTATTGAACTTCCGTAACCGAAGGTTTCTTCTTTACTGAGATGTTTTTTCCCACTGAGATGATTGATCAGATTTTTTAAGATGAATGACACAATTAGTCTGGTACCACTGTGACACCTGTAAAGCAACTAAATAGGCAAAAGTAATAATGGCCTGAAATGCGTCTTTTTTCCTTTCTTCACTTCCTTTGAATGGGTATTAAGATAGAAGATATGAGACATAGCGCAGGCAAATCATCCTCGTTTTTAGCTTCAAACTTGGGCAATTAAGCTCTTAGAAACGAAAATAATGAAAAAGGAAAAAACGCAGGATATTAAAAAAATAAAATATTGAAAAATTGCACAAAAAAGATCGGCGAAAAATTCGTCAAATATGCAAATTTATTAAATTAAATTTAATAGAATTAAAAAACAAAAATTATTGAAACGAATTGTCTGGGACCGCTGCACAGTTTCAAGCACACGAAAATAATTGCTAGGTGTGGCACCATTATCGAATAAATTAATTCTCAACGTTTGGGTCAATCTCTTCTCGGTAATTAATTGCATTAAGGAAGCGACTCTATTAAAAAAGCATGCATGTTTCGACCTAAAAATTGATACGATAAGAGCAGTTTGCTTCACTGCCCAACTAACAAGCCTAACCTGCAGACTATTAAAAGAAGAATGACAAGCCGATGAGGACATTGAAAAATAAACTTATCGTTTTTTGAGAGACAAATATTTCTCGATTTGCTCCGCCATATGTTTGAAAAGTGGATGTTTCCAAATCCCATATCATTGTTGGGAATATTCTTTTTAAAAATGCGATATCGTAAACATTAATACATTAGTTTAGTCCCATTAGTTTTTTTTATAGAAGCTGAACAGTTTTTGCGAGTTATTTGCCTTCATTGCTCCATTAAATCCTTTATTTGTCAACTGTTGGCAATTATTAATCGATAAACTGAATTGGATAAAATGAGAAGAGTGTAGTGCACTTCTCAGGAATCTCAAGGATCTCGATTTTCTCTTCAAAAACTTGAAATTTATTTAAAAAATCATGGAAGGTCTGTATATTCTTTTACATTATATTCTTTTATATTTCCTTATAGAAAAGAGCGAACTGCTTTTTAAGCTAATAATAATATGTATTTGTATTCTTGTATTTTTGCATTCTTCTAGCACTTTCAGCCTTGTATTTTCTGCTTTTTTTTATTTGGCAGCACATTAACCAACATATGGCTTTTGCCCTACTTGTAAACTTGTATACTGATAAATAATATTATGGAAACTAATTATTTTTATGGAAACTTTTAAAAACCACAGCCTTACGGAAACTTTTGAACTACCCAGAAAAAAGATAATCTGCCCACTCGTGACCGAAATACTATTTGGCTTGGTCATTGGTTGTCTAAAACTGAAATTTATTTATTCTTTCAGTGTCTCAAATCGAGTATCGGGTGAACCTTGTTTTAATTGAGCTTTACAACATTATGCACTCATGGATCAGAACCATAGGTCTGGAATTCGCGAAATTTGAGTTGGAATATTTGGTAGCTGATGCTGTTGAGGAAATCTCATTTAACATTGAATTACTTGGATATGAATCAGCGACACTAGAAATGAACTGAACCATAGCCCAAGACTGTTTAACATTAATAATATGATGTACAAAAAAAAAAAATTTTTGTTGAGGTGTCGTTTTAGAAAATTTCCTTTGTTTTTGTGAATTATTTTTCATTTCTGATTAAAATTCTCTTAAATTTTTAATTTTTTTGTGTCAAATAACGATTAAAATAAAATAAATTAAAATTAAATCAATTAAATTGTTTAAATAATATATATATTTTTAAATTTAATTGCCTTTTTATATCTTTTTTAAATTTAAATTGTCTATTTTATTATTTTCGTTAAATTTAATTTTTTATCTTTGACAGAAGTAAGCCTGTCATTATGTCAAAAATCCGATTGGCTGCTGGGGATTCAATTGTATCTCTATCCACAAGTGACACGATTCACTTGATAGAGCAGCGCTCTGGAGAGTGACGGAATGTAACGGTCTTCCAGAGAAGATCATTCGACTTATGAAGGCATTTTGTCAGTATGCCCTGGCGCAAGTCTGTATATATGGAGATCTGACAGACTCCTTTGAAATAAAAATTGCTGTCCATCAGGGCTGCCTCCTTTCCCCTACAATATTCAACTATGCGATAGTCTGGATGATGGAAATCGCTTTTTGGCACTCAAGAGGTGTTCAAATCAGTGCAGAGCATCACAGATTTTAAATACGCTGACAATGTAGTCTTTTTTGCTGACAGTTATAAGGAAATGGAAATAATGTTAAAGAATGTGTCAACAACTGGAGCGAAAAGAGAATTGGACTGAAAATCAATGCAAATAAAACGAAAATATTTTCGTTTTATATATAAGATGATAAAATACCTATTTTTATCAATACATTTCCGGTTGAGGAGGTGTCTGACTTTAAATACCTTGGACCCACTCTAATCCCAAATGGCCAGGCGAAGGATGAAATTATAACCCGAATAATGACAGCTAGAATTATGTTTTTCCGGTTGATGAAATCTTTATGGAACCGTCGCGAAATTACCATAAAGACGAAAATCCGCTTCCATATAGCTGCAATTCGTTCGATTGCTATATGGCTGCGAAACATGGCCAATGAGAGTGGAAGATGTTAAAAAGCTATTGGCTTTTGACCACTTATGTCTAGGGCACGGATTTTACGGATCCGTCGAGAGAAAATCGCGCATGATTGTATCCACTTTCGCTCAAATACCACCTATATTAATAATGTTATCACAGAGCGTCCGTCTCGTTCTCCGTCGTCCACCACAAGTGTTGACGCATAATTACTTTCATTACTTGCTAAACCCTGTGATGGTTGGCGCCAAAGATGAGGAAGACCAGTGAAAACCTGGACTGATACAAATCAGGAAAGATTTTGAACGTATCAGGACTAGCAATATATGGACTTAGTCGATGGAAACTGGAGTTTGTGCATGATGCAAACAAAAACTCAAGATTCATTACGGTTTGTTATTAAAGCGACAAGGCTCATTCCACAGAGAGTAGAATTATTTTCCTTAGCCTATATTGATGTTTCAAATTCTTGTTGCATTCCTCATTGATAGCATTATTTATAAATGTGGCAAAGAAAAAAATATAGATGAGAGTTATGTGAGGTGGCACGATAGTCGAGTGGATTTAGGTTTGGAAACGCTAAGTTTTTTTATTTTTTATTTCGTTTGTTTTCCTTTTCTTTTCCTATATTCAAATTGAATTTTTAAATAAAATATATGTATATATATATATATATAAAATTTAAAATATTATAAATATTTTCATTAAAAAAAAATATTTGGCAAACCTGCCTTGCTAAAAATCCAGGTGGCTGCTGGGGATCCACCTGTACTTCTATCCCCAAGTGATGGTGAAGGGGTCAAATATTTGATACGGCGTCCGCGTCTCCCGACGCGCAGGATACTCCCAGCCCGGTGGTACGTGCAGTAAGTGCACAATCCGAGCTTAATACAAGCCCAAGGATAATTAAAATGTGCTCGTAAGCCAGCGTAATTGCTCGAAACCTGTCAAGGACGGAACAACTCTCTGCACGCGCGGCGAGACATATCAATGTGGAACGTTAGAACACTTATGGACGTTGCCACAAATATGCAATGCGCCAATGGAGAATGCCTTCTCCGTTTTGCCAAAGAGCATGAACTCTTTGTTACTAATACATGCTTTCAGCATCAGAGGAAACATCTAGTCACATGGAACTCTCCGGACAACCAATATTCTAATCAGATTGACTATATATTAGTCAGTCGCTGGAAGAGTTCTGTACTTGATAGTCGTTCTTATCGGGGCGCTGAAACTGATAACCGCCATGGACCAGATCATGTCAAAGTTTGAGCCATAATTTGTATAAAACTGACAAGTCGTAAGAACAATCTATCCCAAGACTATCTCAAATTAAAAGATCCAGGAGCAATAAGCGCATTCAAACCATATTACTGAAACACCTCAGTGAAATGAATGTCAATGATATCTCTAGAACGGCGAATGAATACTGGTCCCAACTTAAAGACATGTCAGCCACTTCCACATTAGGGTATAGTAGTAGGAAGTGTGCTAGTTGAGTGTCAAAAGCAATTGTCCAGCTATCTGAAAAAGTTGCAAAGTCCGAATATAAGGAGATCCTGAATATCGGGTGCTTCGAAGAATCACAACAACAGCAGCACGGCGGGACAGAAATCACTATTGGAGCGATATGGCCTTGAGAATGGAGCTCGAGTCGGCGGCTCGGACAGGTGATAATAGTAAACTGTTTCGCCTCCTCCGCAAAGCAACTATAACTCGAGAAAGATTCAGTGAAATGGCACAGGATATTAATGGGGTGCCTATTAAAGCTATCAAGGATCGCCTCAGAAGATGGAAAAAATTTTTGAGGCCAAACTTAACCACAATGCTCCATCTGTTATCTCGAATATAACTGATTCGAATATAACTGATCTCGAATATAACTGAATGGATCCAAGGTATTTAAAGTCCAGCACTTCCTCAACCGGCAATAAATTGATAAAAATAGGTATTTTATCAGCACAAGGGAGTAAAAGTAACAAATTCCTATCTCTTCTTTATCACCATGCACCATTTCTCTGCCTGTGACTGCCTCCAATGAGACCGTTTGAATTAATGTGTCCGGAGGTGATCTGCAAAAAGAAGATAATAATTCAGTCGCATTTCTTATCAGTTGACATCAATGGTTTGATCTTAGATTCTTATCACCTTATGAAATATTTCTAATAGACTTAGTAAAATAATAAATTGAAATTACGCACGATTATAGGAACGCAAATTGAACCATATGAAACTAAAATTGCGGAAGAAAAATTGTTTGAAGCGATATACCGACTTTTAAAAATAGGTGATTACGAAATACAGCCATTTCGAGACCATCCGAGCGAATGCTATGCTCTTGTCAGTGTAAGTAAACGTCTCATTTTTTTAAAGAGCAGTCCTTGGACCTGATCCACTGGCTTATTGGACTAGAGAAATATGTCAGAGAGTCCCTTGGCGATAGTTTCTATAGGTAAGTCGGCAGTATCATCCTGGTTTTCGGGCAGGTTTATTCCTGTCGAAGTTGGAACCACAGCATTGGCGTCGCGAATTGAGCCATCTAACTCTCCTTTTTCCGTTTTCTTCTCTGGGCCACTTTGCAGAAGGGTGGTGCGAACCTAAAGCTCGATTCAACGGTGTTGCCACTGAACCACCGAAGCTCCTGTTCCCAGTCATGCAATAATGGATTATTTGAAAAGTCTTTATACTATTGTGGCTAATCGGCAACCTGGTTCTAGTAAAAAGAATCCTTTCTTCGCGTAAATGGTAATTGAAAATGAATTTGAATTTAAAATGAATCTAAATTTAGGCATTGAGTTCGTTTAATGTTATTGGAGGACCGATATCTCAATTGTAGTCACCATATGCGGATCGAATTGATTATCCTCAACAAAGCATACCGGCTGGAACTCCCGCAACATTCGTGGTGCACGGGATCAATTTCAGGAGGAGGGGAATTTAAAACATTGACAATTTTCCAAGAAGACGATGTAATTTCTTATAAGTCATTGCTGTTCTATTATGCGACTACGGCACAATACTGCTCATTGCTGTAGAAGGAGCAAGTAAAGCAGTTGAGATGAGTTCATATGTGCTGGTTGGACTGACTCTTCGGCCTTTTCCAACAAATTCGACGCAAAGCAAATGCAACACAGTTGAAAATATTAGGGGATGTTAATGCTTAGGTTGATTACTTGTAGAAATGGTTAATGTATTTGATCTGAACTATTAGATTAGGAAAATTTCTCTCTGCAACTGTGATTTGAATGAATATAAAAATAGGAAATGTTTGTTGAGTTATTGTTTTGCCCAAAATTTGCATCAAATTTGGACCTTTATAAATTGAAAATTACCATTAAAAATTTTTAAGCTTATTTTAAGGGCACAAAAATTATTAAAGCGTTTTGGTTGTTCGTATGAATATTATGTCCAATTATTCTTTTGTCCAAAATTCGGACCAACTTTTTATCGAATTGATGGAATCGACTTTTTTGGAAATTATTTTACTCGTATGGGGATGTTTAATTGGACGGGTAGGTTTCTTGTTTACCTTTACCATTTACTCAATTATTAGTCGAATAATATTTGCATGTTTTCACTTTTTTCATTACTTTTTTCATAGATAATAGTTTGAATTTTCTTTTTAATAGCAATTATTTTTATTTATTAATGAAAAATTGAAGACGAATACTGCAGAGGTTTTTCACCGCAAGAACCGAGAGTTCTCACCTTTTCCGGTGCTAATCGTTCTTTTAGAATTTGAAAAATACGATGAATGCGATTTTGGAAGTGCCTTCTAGAGGCAGTTTTCTTCTTCATAAAACTCGGTTTACGTGAAGTTAATTTTCACCATTCAAAAAAGTAATACCAACTACTACAACCGAGCCATTAGCTCATTGTCAAAATGGAGGAATTTGGACGGAGAGACTCGATGGAACAACTTACTGTCTTTGCCCTAACCTATTTACTGGTTGACTGTTCAGTACCATTGTGCATGAACGGTGGAATAGCTGATGCGCAGAAATAGAAAATGTAATTGTTCTGATGGATTTTCTGGCCTTCGTTGTGAACATGGTACTTCCTTTACTCTTATAAGCTTATATGATTATTCCGTAAAAGGCTGAGACTGAGTTCACAGAGTTTATAAACAGTAATATTTCTGATAGATTCTTTGCCTTTAGCATTATTGTTATTACTTTTTAATATTAATATTAGCGAATTATAAGCTTTTATCATAAATATAAATAGAATATTATAAATATTACTATAAATATTACTATTACTATTTTTATGTATTACATTCATTTTCATGTTTATTATATTATATTCATGTTTTTATTTATTAATTAAAGGAAATGAAAAAGTTTAGAGCAATAATAGTTGGAATTTCACATTCCATACTTTTTGCCAATAATTTTAGTGTTGTGCTCAAAAAACATTAATAATAAATTCATTGGCGAGGACGACGTCGTTCGTTGATTTTGGTTATGCGTGGTTCCTTTCATCTTAATGAAATGTTTATTAATTTTGTCAACGGTATTTGGCATTTCGCTCAAGAAATGATCCAAATTATTATGTCTTCGATTTGGTCATTTTCGCTGAAGGAGGTTTGGTGAAAGTCTTTTCTTGCATGTGCGAGTGAGCATTACTTAACATTTAAAATTTAAAATTTATTTTTTTTTCAGAAATTTTGCTGTTAAACCGATTTAAGTCGATTGATCATGTTTTACAAGCTATGCCTTTGAATAGATTTACGAATCGCATTTCTCCCGATTCTATGTTTGGTGCGATTAGAAATGCATATGAACAATTTATAGTCGGAAAGCATTCACATGTTTATGCGATCACTGATTCGTGTACAAATGATGTCCATGAAATGGATTCTCCAATCGAAATTAGTCGCCTTTGTAGATCACCGGTGGATTTACTTAAAAGATTTCTTTCTAATTAATATTATTTATTACTATATTTGTTTAGAAAACAACCAAGAATATTAAGCGAGCTTAACTATAAATGGTGTGAAAAAGAGAATATTATAGAGATACGGGAAAAATGGGGTTCTTACATTCTTTTCTATAGATAAATAACATTAGTACTTTTATTTTTAACTTCATTTTTTAGCAATAACCATTGCAATTCTCATTCTCGTTCAGAAATTCTATCATAAAATAGGGGAACCACGATTCTATTTCAGAAATTTTTAGCTTGTGGTGATGGTTGACAGGCAGTTTCAAGTTGGTATTGTATAAAATTCTGTAGTCAAGAAACTACATGGTCAGAAGAAATTTGCCATCAATATAGAGGATTTCTAATGGATGAGCTAAATTATGAGAAGACCAAATCTTTAGATGGTATGGTATCAAATGAAGTAATATACCTGAATGGATTTGAGCAATTCCACTGTTTCTGCTGATCTGTTTTCTTCTTCCAGCTTATTTTAATTTAAAAAGTACTGTTTTTTCATTTTTATTAGTAAAGTTAAAAATAATTGATGTTTGGGATTCCGCATCTGATACTATTGGAATAATGGTGAGATAAATTTATAGTTTGCAACAAGTCACAATATTATCACCTATGAAAAGTGACCATCCTTTAAAATTTCAAAAAATCTAAAAACTTTAAAAATAGAATGAGGTAAAGTGAGGTAAGATTTTCATCATATCTTGTAAAAATCGCTATATAGAAGCATTTATTTTTTTGTTTCAATTTTTGTTCTCGCTCAAAAAGTCTACCATGTTTTCTTTCGAACTCTAAGAATCTCCTTAAATTTTTGTTTTTGCCGATGGCAGCTTCAACCCATTGCGTTTCCGAAAACATAAATAGAAAGATCTCCAGGGAATTTCGCGCTACCAAAAATATAACTTGTATATAAAAAAATTTTTCAGCAAAAAGATGATATTTATAGCAACTGGGGGCCAGAAAAAACAATTTTCTATTTGAATTCAATTCTTATAAGACATAATTATCATGCAATTTAGTGATGGCAAGATGTGTGTTGCACGTTTATACAGTTCAGTTCGACGAAAGGACAATGGTTTCGTCAAAATTGCAACGATAGATTTCCTTTCACTTGCCAGAAATTCAAATATGACTATCTGAACACCGATTTCAATAATCTCACAAGTTCCTTTACTATGGTTTTTATCGCAGAAAACTTGATAATTTGCAAGTTTTTTAGGTGAATTTTCTCCTGGAGAATGGCATCTTGGATTACATTTGCCGGAATTTCCACGGGTAAATGAGATGCTACAATTTGTCGAAATACGATATTCAAATACTGGCAGTGTATGTGGACAACGATTTTGATGATACCTGAAGAAATTGGCCCTCACCTTATTGTTAATTTTAATTTTACAATATAAAATAGAATTTTCTATTCTATTTTACTCTTGAAATAATAGCAAAACTGAAGTCAGTGATCTTTGATAACAATATAGATAAGGTTATTACCACTTTAATCATAGGTATAGGTCTAAAGAATTTAGGTGTAGATTTGAGTTTGAGCTTGGTTAAAAAATTATTACCATACACCAAATTTCACTCTTAATGATTAATACTGGAAAAATTAATTCAATTTATCATTATAATTATCATTCAATTTTATCAATAAATTGTATGCGCCCAGTGGTAAAGTTGAAGAAAATGCAGCAATTTTGAAATATATTTATTTTATTGATACTGATCGAAGTTTCATTTTTCAATCATCTGCATATGAACTGCGTAGTGATGGTTTTTTATATAGATGGCTTTCGGGTATGCTGACATGTCCTATGTTTCACAAGCTTGAAAATGCCTTCTTAGCTTTTGCTTATTTTTTTGTCTATTCGAATTCAATTCTTATAAGACATAATTATCATGCAAATTTTTCGTAAATTGTCTTCGGTCTTTTAGTGGTCCAGGTTTAACATTTAGTGCAATATCCTTGATATTGTGTAGAAAAAAAGTGGGTGCTCACCACTTCTGGTTAATTGCTAATACTATGAAATAATTTCTCTAGAACCATAAAAACAGGTTCTAAGTTTTACTGCTTAGTTTTTGTGCTAGAGAGCTGAACATGTTACAAAAAATAATTTAAACAGAAACCTTTGGCTGTCTGAGTCTACGGAACTGGATTTATTTTCTAAAAATTTTATAGCATTCTGGTGAAAATTGATGTGGCGTTGGTTTTAAACGAATTAGTCGAACATGTAACTGATTTTTCGCAAATATTTTTATTTATGCTATTACTTAGTATATTACTTAGACTATTATGAAAATCTATGAAAAAATTGGTAAGGGCATATTAGTTCGCTTTATTTTTGGCATATCCAAGGAAAAACTGAGTTAATAAAGTATAAAATTGACTTTTTCTCGATAAAATTTTTTTTTTCAAGAGTCCTCACCATTAAACTCGCTCCACTGGCTTGTCGCATTGGGCAATATGCCAGGGAATCCCTTGGCGACAGAAATACAGGTCAGTCGCCAGCATCAGGATTCTTCTACAAGCTTACTCGTGCGGGGAATCGAACCCTAGCATCGGCGCTCCAAACTGAGCAACAACTCACTGAGCAATCCTATCCGCATAAATTGAAGTCATCAGTTACATTTATGTAGTTTGTTATATAGTTTCAGTTGTTTGTCCACATCTAATATCCACAAAATTTACGGTTGATGATAAAACAATTATTTTCGTTATTGAATTAACGATTCCGAATAAAGTCGCTCTAAAGAAAGATTTGCAGTTGGTGTCCAACTATTAAATTAGAAACAATTCGCAAGAGTCATAAACAATGGTTGACGAAATTTTTCCTCGTCACAATTGATAGTAAATTTTAAGATTTTATTAGCAAAATTTTTAATTATTCTTTTATTCTTCTAAAATTATTCTTATTAAAGAGGAATTTCATCAAATCTTTTTGGAAAAGAATGGAGGATTTTATTTCTCCTTGGAAAATTTTTTATTCGATTCTAATTGAGAACGCTGAATTTTTGGAAAGAATTCTTCGTTATTTTAGTTATTTTATCTGCAAAATTATTTGCAAACAATCGCAATAAGGCTGAAGAAATTAAAATTAATTAAAATTGATAATGGGAAGATATCCTATCAATATCATCATATTCAACAATTGAGAAATTCGTACCAGAAGTACAATCTTTATCATGAAAGCGCAACTTTTTCAGTGTATTACTGTTGGTATTATTACAAACAGTTCCAGTAAACCAATCATTTATACTATTACACGAAGCACACCAAACGATTATCGTAGTTTATTGGATTGTACAAAACATATGACTTCATCTCAAGCCATGGTTACTTAAAGCTAAAAAAATATTGCATGAACTAAAGAATACGATAAACTGCAAAAAGAATCGTTATTTTTTTATTTATTGGCGTTATTTATCGTTTTTTTCTCTTTATATTGTTTAAAAATATTTCATTATTCACAGTTGTTTTTTAGGTTAACTATTTAGCAATTGTTAATGAAGATTTCAAAGTTTGTGGAAAAAGTTTGGATGAAACTGATGTGGAAGATATGAGAAATTTAGATATTGCATCGAGTGGAAATTCAATTTTTTTTCATCGAGGCGGATAACATAATTGAAGTACTTTATTTGCCTTAAAATTTCTTTCAAAACTTTGGGCCATAAATCTCGAAGCTTTGCCGAATTAAGTAATTTTCTGAAATTTCTTCAACGAGTCATTCTTGCAATTTTTTTTTCAAATTCTTTCTAATATTCTATAAGACAACAAATAAGCTTGTATTAAGCCTGTAAAAATTCGTAATTCGAATGAGAATGTAAGCATCAATGCAAGAGGAATAGCTGACTACACCTTCACCTATCACTATAGTATTCTTTTTCTGGCGAAATTCGCATATAGCCAGCCTAAATTATTGGATCTCGCCAAATGGCTAAACCTATGTTTGAAGTTGTAAAAGGTGAACTAAAAGTTATGCACCATTAAACTAAATATGGAAAAGAAGAAGATGCAAATTTTAGTTCTTGAAAGCATATATACCATCGTTTATTCTGGAATACCATTAAGCGAAACGATTGGGAATAAAAGGAAATGTCTCAACAAGCAGTTATTAGATATCAGCTACATTTCCGATTTATGTATCATCATATTCGCTGCTGCTTCATCATTTCAGTTCTGGATCCACACAGGAGGTTATTTTACTACCAAAAGTCGGTTCTAAGCAAGTTTCTATCTCTTTCGTTCCCTTTTATTTGGTTAAAATTTATTATCCTTTTATCTGCAAAAATAATGAAGTTGATGTTGACATATTATTTAATGATGGTTTTACACAAATCGGTCATATTGAAATCGATCATGCTATTGGAACGTATACTTTACAAATTTCGAGTGAAGGAAGTTGTACGGTTCAAATAAGAGGTATTATTACTTCGAGTAATTTACAGTTTGGAACTACAAAAGACACGATAAATTACGATGGATCGCATAACGATCCAATATATGATGAATTAAAGTATGGGGGTGACCTGACTTTTTCTTCATCATCATTATCAGTTTTTTATTTTTTTAAAAATATATTAATAGGTTTTACTAGGTTTCATAGTTTTTTCTATTGTAAAAAGACAGAGTTTTTGCGAAACGTAGAGATAGTTAAGATCGACCTAGAGAAAATGAATTTTTTGTTCCTAAAAGCGCTCATCAATTCTGGTTAGGCTCGCACCGTTGGTTTATCGAATTTTTCCAAGCAAATTTTACGCTTGGCGATTTAGATGATACAGACTGCACTAATGGACCATTAAAAGACAAATTTATTTCCTGCCGAAAGTCTCCATCAGCTCTCCGAAATGACGACCTCACAGTAATTCGCAATGTCTAAAATAAACATTCACTATTATTAAGTCTTATCATTAAACAAATTTGTTAAAATCGTAAAAATGCTATTATCAGTTGAATCTGAATTTCATAGAATCAGCAAGAATCATTGCGCATTTAATGGATGACGATGGAGGATTAATGCTTGACAATTAATGTCTCCATCTACAAAGACCAACACAAATATAGTTTGCTATACTTTCATGAATTTATTGGTTTTATTATTATTTGCCATTATTATTAATATTAATAGATTAATATTATTCTTATTATTAGTTTTTATATTTGTTATTCATTATTTTTTATTATTCTTATTATTAAAATTATTCTTATTATTATATCATATTTTATAATTGATATAAATGAATTATGAAATTATGTATCGTTTCAAATCGCTTTGCTCATCGCTAGAAAATCCTTTCAAATCAGTGCTCTACTCAAAAAAGTTTTTTCAGAAAAAAACTAAGTCCACCACTTTTGGTTGCCCCTCTTCTCTCGAATAAGACAAATCTTGCCAGAGAGCCGCTTGGCGACGGAAGTGGAGACAAATGCCCGGCATCACTTGAATTTGAAAGACTGCAGGCAAGCAAAAATATAACCTCACGTCTCCGATCTCTCCGATCTTAAATGAGAGTCCACTGGAGCATTCTAATTAAATTTAATCACATTATCTTCTTATCATATCTTTTTTTTGCAGATATAATTGTTCATATGAATTTTATTCGAGTCCATTCTTCTGTGATTTCAAAAATGTATCGTTGATTTTCGTTACCAATGGAATATATCAAACATTTTATGGATTTCCCGCTTGTTCTTAACTGTTCTTTTTTTAAATTTAATATTTATTATTAGTATTTTTGATAAAATTTCGAGTTTTCGAAAATTATTCAATCTACAATAACTCATTGGATGATGAGACCGTGGCAACGCCAAAACGAAAAGCAATCATTCATAGTAGCGAGGGCCACAAATTAAATTCTTCTTTACTGCAAATCAGTGGTTATGATAAAATGATCTTATCACGATAAAATCGGTACAATCGTCTTTCCTCTAAATCCTCTATATCAAGTTGGCCTCAACTTGAGACCCTTTAGAATTCTCTTGTTTATAGAACCTCGACCTTTAAACGACCGATCCTGAAGCAAATCGCTAGACGAACAACAGCCTGACGCCGCGCTTAAATGAATCATCATTAGATTGTAGTTTTCACAATACTGAAGGTTATTGCGTTGTTAAATCTTCACTTAGTCCTGATTGGAAAATTTAATTTCTCCTATTCAGTATTTGTCGCGCTACAATCTGCGTCGCGGCTGTTCAATAGTTTTGGGCGGTTACTAACCGATCGATATGTTTGGATTGGTTGTAGAATATAGGTCGACAGTTCCATTTACCTCAGAGACCGGTACTTTATTCCTCAGTGGAGTCTTCTTGGTCCTTATCTTTCCTCTTTTCTGGTCATTTCGTTGCTCTTCCTGCTTATCCTCTTCGTCCTTCGCAACGTTTTTCGCTGTTTTTCGTCCATTTTTTTGTGTCTCTCATTATTCTTTCCTCCTTTCTTTAAAAAGGAAAAGCATATCGTTTTTTTCGTTCTTTTCGTTTTATTCTTCTCCGTTTCTTTTGTTTTAATGAAAAGTTTAATTGTTTTATTTTGTTGAACCAATGCGAATTATTTATGCGCCGTTCGAAGATCGATTTGCTAGATTTAGATTTTAGATTATTCCTTTTTTTTTCCAGATTTCTTTGTAACATTTGGAAAGAAAAATTCGGCAATCATGAGCAGCGATGATGAAGTTTGTTTTTTGCTTGTTTCTTTGTTTCTTTTTTTGGTTTTCCTTTCTGTGGTTCCAAGGTGGTAGATGTTTTTTGTTGAAATAATGCCCAAAATCATAGGGGTCTCCAAATATCTTTGGCGAAGGTGCCATGTGCTTTCGTTTTCTCTTCTCTTTTATTTTCGATCAATTTGATTCCAAGTTGTTTGTTTATGTAGTTCAGTTGTAGTTGCAAAATTTTTTTTCACGAAGCCCTAAAGGTTACTAAATGCACAGTTCCTCAGTGCAAGGTCTTTATTGCAAAATTTTAAATTTTGTTAATTTTTTTATATAGGAATAAATTAATATATTGTATTACTTAAAATAATTATGTTGTTACTTTTCAAATAAAATAAGAATATATAGTTCGAATTGGGTTCCCTGAAAGTTGCTGCCATGAATTTCGTGAAGTACGTAGAGAATTTGCCACTGGTTTATTTGATATCATTTTTGATGTATGTAAATATTTTTTCAGCATGGCTCCCCTATTGCACGAAGTCGTTCACATTCTCGTTCGGATTCGTCATTAGTTGAAGATGTCGATCATATAAATGGGAGTGGTCGTTCCCCATCTCGATCTGCTGGTTCACGTTCTCCTGTCCGTGAACGATCTGCATCTCAATCGCCTGTGCGTGAAGTGTCACGTTCGCCACGTCGCAAACGTTCACGTACTCGTTCTCGTTCTCGATCTCGCGAATATCGTCGTGTTCGTCGTTCACGGTCTCCAGATGAACGCAGACGCTATCGATCTCGATCTTATAGTCCGCGATATCGGAGTAGGCGCAGGTATTTTTATGATCTTTTATTACAATTTTTTCTATTATTTTTTCAGCAGATGTCGATTAATAGCTGATTTTCTTGCATTGAATATTGGAATTTGAGCCCTCATTTTTTTTCTGAATAGTTGCGCGAATTTTACTTTTAATGGTAGGTTTATTGGCAAGTGTTAAAAAAAGTGTGATTATATATGTTTCTACTAATGTTAAAGATATTTTTGTTCTTATAGGCCATTTCTTATTAATAATTTACAGTCAGATGGAAATTTCGCAGTTTTGATAGAAGGTGAATATAGAAGTTTTTGTTTTGTTTTAGAATTTGACACAATTAGACTAGGTGGGTTCAAATTACAAAAACATAATAAGAATTTGCTTCAACGTTGAATTTCTTCTAATCTATAAAACGTCTATAAATCGAAAGAATTCTTGTTATTTTTTTTATTTTTTATCCTAGTTTTCATCAGATGACTTAAGTATATCAGCTGAATTAAATTTTTATGTGCCTATAATAGAAAATCTTCATGACTGACGTTGTTTTCCTTTTCTTTCTTAGCTAGTAAGAAAAGGGAAATGATATCAAGTCATGTTGAAATTAAGGCATAATATTCATGTTTATATTTTGGCAGTTTGGAGGGAATCAATGCAAAACAATTGCTGAGCGAACTGAAAGAAACACACTCAGTTGTAATTCAATGAAAAGAGAAACTGTCAATTATTATCAATTCGACAGCTTACCTATAGACTTTCAACCGTCATCTCATTCAAATCAATTCAAAAATGAATTCCACCAATTCAGTCTACTATTCTTCTTCTTATCAAACCAAACAGTCAAACAACAGCAGCCAAGTGGTACCATGTAATTGTTTACTGGAGTCAGAATTAATCCTTGGAAGTTAGATAAGATAGATGGGATAGGATTCTTCCAAATATCTTTTTAGAGGAGTCTAGTTAATTAATTTCTTATCTATCGTTTTCGTTGCTAAGTCATTATTCATTTACGTCTTTCAACCTTGAATCTTTCTAAACAGTCTGTCTTATATAAGATTTATTGTCTTTATCCTATTTTTTTTGGTTGTTTTATTACTTTGGTCTATTTTTAAATTTAGAGGGTGTTCAGTCGGCTTAAGGTTTTAAGTTTTAAAGGTGGCGATATTGCTTGAACTGTTGATATATTGGACTTCCCCTTAGAATCATTCAAAAATTTTAAAATCTCTTAGTTCAGAAGTTTGTGTCCATTGGTTGCTGTAGTTTCCAAGACCGTATGGTAAATTCATATAGGTTCTTCACCGTCGAATAAACCAATAACATGTTAAAAGTTTGTATGTGGTTGGAGTTTGTCCTTTAAAAAGCATTTTCTCTAATCTGGTTAAGGCATGATCTTATTATTAGCCGGTCACCTTCGTCTCCACCACGTCGTCGTCGTTCAAGAACTCCTCCACCACGCCGTCGTTTCTCACCTGCACGTAGAAGCCGCTATAATGATGGCCGTGATAATCCGGAACCGTGTTCTTGTCTTGGTGTGTTTGGAATGTCGCTTAATACCACTGAACGTGATTTAAAACGTATATTTGGTGAATATGGCGAAATTGAAACGGTGCAGTTGGTTTATGATCGTTATAGTGGTCGTTCACGTGGGTTTGGTTTCGTTTATTTTCAATCGACAAAGGAAGCGATAAGAGTGAGTTTCATTTATGTTTATATTTGGTTTTTTTTTTAAGAAACGATGTAATCTTGTTATATTTATAAAATAACTTTGTTTTGTTAAATGCTTCATCTTCCATTATAAATTATATTTTAATTTTGGATTTCATTTGTTTTAGGCGAAAGAACATCTTCGTGATGCAGTAATTGACGGGATGCGAGTGCGTGTCGATTTCTCAGTAACCAAGGGCGCACCAAATACGTAAATAGCTTATCAAATTTATAAAAGTTTACAGCTTTTAGAATTGCAAATTTTCATTTTTTTTTAAAGTTTTTTTGGGTAGTTTTTAAGTGTAATTTCTGTGCAGTGATTTTAATTTTTAAATTCTCTTGGAATTTTTTTCCTTATTCGTTTTTTTTTAAAGAGTATTTTGGTTCACGCGAAGTTCATAATTCGTGAAATATATTGTGAATATGTTTATAGCACACGTGGTTCAAGAGGAAGATCTCGTAGTCGCAGTGTCGACAGCTATCGTAGACGTCGTTCACGATCTTGAGTCGACCTTGGCCTTGAGTGATCAAAATTGCTCTTTAGCAAAAATTGAAAATTATCGCTGCAGTTTTAACTTTTTTTTTTTTTAAAACACGATATCAGTTTATTTTTCCATTACTGTGTTCATACTAGGAGGTCAGAACAGCGGAATTTGTTTTATATATCTTTTCACCAAATTTATTTTTTTTTTTTTGGTATTTGACTTATAATTAAAATTTCTCATCATTCGCGTTCGGATCCTTCCATTCCTCTCTAAAATATTTCAATTTTCATCGCTAATTTAATTGAACGGTTTAGCCACCATTGTATGGATTTTATTTTTTCTAACTTTTCAAAAATTTTTTTCGATCAACATTTGCGTGAGCACTTTGATTGATTGTTGTTTTTTAATTAATTATAATAAAAGATTTATTAAGTTTGTTCCACATATGAAAATTATTTGTTGAAAATTATTTTAAATTTCTGATTTCTACAGTGGGATAGAATTTTAGTTACCGGATTATTTATGATAAAAGTGGGATGATAAAGGCACAAGGAAGTCGTCAACAGGTATTGTTTTTTATTTTGAATTTAAAAATGTCAGTTAAGGCAGTGATGATTGCATGAATTCGGTTTTTAGGACGGATCAACATTTTAAAACAGTTTGTTAGGGCGCTCATTATTTCTGGTTGGACGTGGTGAGTTTCTAGGATTGGAAAGGTTCAATTGTGGAATCATTTGTTGGTAGAAGTAGAGGTGGGTGGGATCGCTAACTGTCTGAATTTTTGGGATGGCGGCGTTGAAGTGGAAATTTGGAAAATTGGGGTTTTTCATAGTTGTCTAAACTTGTATTTAGTGAATTAACAACCAACGTTAACGACGAAAAACATGTTTTATTATTGATTCTTCAAGTTGCTTTTTTTCTAAAATCTTTGTCGATTTTTTTAGAAATATTATTTGTTAAATGTTATTAAATTTGCCAATTGCTTTAAATAATTTAAAAAATTAATTAAATATTTAAATTAAATATTTAAAAAATTAAATATTTTAAATAAAATGCGTTGAAATGTGTTTTAAAAAAATTTTTCTATTTTTAAAAAATTAATGGTAATTTCGAAATTGATTTAATTTATTATTTTATTTCAAACGGTTTGTCTCGGTATTTTTATTCTTTAAAATATTTATTAGATTTGTTAATTTGGAAATCAGCTTAGTGGAGTGGAACCGGTCAGTGAGTCGCTCTTGTCTCTCGAAATGCTCATATCGAGCTTTCCACTCCCGGCTGGGCTAAGCTAAGCATGCTTTTCGAATGCCCGAGTGTGCTGCTAACCACGACTCACTCGTACATCTCTGCAGCCAAATTGGTCCTACAGGCGGCTGCAATCACCAGAAATCACCAGAATAACCAGAAATAGTACGCGCATTTGGGAAAAAACTGGTTATCGTCTTTTTGAATGTAAATTTATCGGAGTATAACGAAGTTATAAGATAATACGATAGTGAACCATAAATCAGGAAAGAATTGAGCGATAATGGATATATATTCCGGAAATTCTCGTTGGATATTTCACCAAATCATTTCATATTTCCTATTGGTTCCATGTGAAGAATTTGCAGTCTTCGCATAAGTTAAATTGTCATTCCAATGCACAACTACTTATTCTTATGAAATTGGCCAAAAGAGAGTTTCTACCTTATAATTTGGCAATTTCAGGCTATTTCGTGCAATAAGAGTATTTTTGGTGTATGCCTCATTGCGCAACTTCACAGTAAATCGTATTTCATACTTAATAATGTAAAAAACGCTGACTTGTCGTTTCTTTCATATTTTCTTATTGTCGTTATCGTATCGTATTTTTTCCCTCAGAAATCTTTATTTGACGACGATGAACATCAATTATCACGGATTTTTTTTCACAAAACTTATTTCTGGTTAGGCTCACTGCGCTGGCCAGTTGGACCAGAAAAATTGCCAGGAAACCACTTGGTCACTTGGCGATTTGCCTCCACAGGTGGCTCATAGCATTATTCGGATTTTCGAAAGATGGGTTTTATCCGACTGGACGCTCTGATTAATTTTTTGATTATTTTCCTTTATGTTGAAAAAAAGATTTTGGTATTATGCATTTCTATTTTTAATTCTTGTTTTTTAATTTTGTTTTTATCGAATTTAATTTAATTGAAAATATATTTTAGATTATGCGAAAAAGTCAATTTACCATTATTTCGCTAAGTTTTATCATTCTTTCTATTTTGTTTATTGCCATAAAATGGTTGACATTATCAAGCAATTCGTACAATAATATCTTCAGTGGTAAACTTCTTTTTGAATTCGGTGACAGGAATTATCCTACGCCTCGTGTAAATCTCAGTTATTGTCCATCACTATACGGCAAAATTGCCATTTTCATTGCATTTGTCAAATCTTCCTATAAAACGTTGGTAATTTCATGATTTTTAGACTATCTACCGTATTTCATAGTTTTGACATTTGGCACCATAAACACCTCAGGTGGTGCTGGCACCTCACCTGTATCTCTGTCGCTTCTATCTTAAGGTTTTGAAAAAAAGTAATTGCCTAAATATCTATAAAAAATGATTATATCTGTTGACCATTTTAGTCATTATCGAGTAGCGCAAGAATCCGTGAAATGTTACTTAAAGTCTACTCAGTATGAAGTATTTTATGTCGATTTATTCGAGGATGAACTTGTGAAAAATGGGTGTCCTCATGATCAGGTTTTTTAATTTTTAAAAGCTTAGGATATTTTAAAATTTGAATTTAAAAATAATTGGAGAATTTCGAAATATATTGAAAATTAATGGTATTTTTTATTCTTATCTTTTTCGAAGAACGCTCAATATTTCCGGTCCAATTTATTTATTGAAAACCAGCCAAGCAGTGCGCAAAAGCCATGTGCTTGTATTAATAACAACAGTTAAAATAATAAATAATAATAAAAATTGATGACAAAAACAAAAAAATAATAAAATAAAATAACAATTTAAAAATGAAATAAAGAGGAAATTACAAAATAATATAATATAGCACAATTCGAAGTGTATTATATATAAATGTTAAGTGTATTATATTATTATAACGGATGGTAAAAATCGAGATTTCATACCTGCATGGTGTGAACTTTTTAAATAAATGATAAATGATATTATCATAAATGATATTATCTGTTCTTTTTTAGATAAATGATAAATGATAGCTAGGGATTGCACACAAGCTATATCGTTCGGTAGTTTATTCCAGTAATTAATATATTACGAATAAAGAAATCATAGTTTAGTTTTTCATAGGTTTTAATTATTTTAGCCCATTAGTTCTTGTTGGCTTTAAATTTAACCTAAAATTATAATATTTTGAACAATCTAGTTTAATATAATCATAGAGAATCGTATAAGTATAAATTAAATCTTGTTTAATACGACGAACTGTCAGAGAATCCAGGTTATATTGTAGAAGTTTTCTTTTATAATTAAAATAGCGATATATTAGGAGAGAGACGCCGTATAAAATATTTTTGGAGTCCTTCAATTATTTTATTTGATTTACGATATCTCGGGGAGTAACATGTAATACTATAGTCAAGAAGTGGCCGAACGAACGCTTTGTAAATTTTGTTAAGAAAATCTTCAGTTTTGTTCTTAAACGAACGAAAAATAAAATTTAGTGTCTTTGAGGATTTCTTTACCATGGTTCTGCAGTGAAGGTCGAAATCGAGATTTCCATCCATGATTATTCTAAGATCGGAAATGTGTGGGACTGTATTGATTATATTGCCATTAATAATAAGAATAGGAAAATCGAAACCTTTGGAATTGATATGAAGAACGCTACATTTTTGAAAAGAAAGGGTAATTTGCCTATAATATAGCCAGTTAGCTATTCTGTTGAGGTCCT